TGGCCACATGCCTCCTCCTCCAAGATGCAGGAGGGATGCCTCAGTGGCCCCAGCCCTGCCTGCACCACACTGACAGCCCCTCCTGCCCCACCCAGCACCGCGTGCACACCATCCTGAGTGCAGACCTGGTGATTGTCCTGAAGCGCGGTGCCATCCTTGAGTTCGACAAGCCAGAGAAGCTGCTCAGCCAGAAAGACAGTGTCTTCGCCTCTTTTGTCCGTGCTGACAAATGACCTACCACAGCCCAAGTGCCATCCCTGCCCCACCCTCCTGCCTGGGTTTTCTAACTGTAAATCCCTTGTAAATAAAGAGATTGGTTATTTCCTACTGAAGGCCAGAGGTCGTGGGTCTGGTGGGCAGGGACTGGGGTGGGCCGTGGGTCCCATGGATCCAGTCTGACTTTAGCATCAAGTAGACCTAAGGAAGCTGTGTGAGTGTGGCCGAAAGCACTTTTCCTCATCTGTGAAATTAAGACTGTCTTCATCTGCTAGGTTGTATTCTGCCGTAGCAAAACACCATAGCCCGGGTGGCTTAAACAGCAGAAATTTACTTTTGACAGTGCTGGAGAGTGGAAGTCCAAGATCAAAGTGTTACTGGCTTGGTTTCTCCTGAGGTCTCTCTCCTTCTAGCTGCATCTGCACATGGCCTTTCCTCTGTGCACCCCTGGTCTCTCGCTCTCCTTATTAGGAATCTAGACATATTGGATGAGGCTGCACTCCTGTGACCTCATTTAACCTAATTACCTCTTCACTGGCCCTATCACATTGGAGGCTCCAACATACGAATTAGGGGGGGATGTAATTCAGTCCATAACAAGGTTATAGTATTTTTGTGATTATCTCATCAGATAAGGTGGCAGATCTTCATATAGTCTGATCCCTTTTCCTTCTTACTTTAATTCTTGGGTTAAAATTGTGGGTCCCCAGGTACCCTGGACCAGTGCATTTAAATTACAAATGACAAGAACACAACTCAAAGTGGCTTAAAAAAAAAACAAAACTGGAATTTCTTATCCTATGTGACTGAGAAGGTCAGGAGGTGCACTACTTCAAGCATGGCTGGATCCAGGTGTTTGCCATCAGGGCTGATGGATTCCATCTTCCTGTCCCTCGCCCATGACAGGTGGCTACTAGCACCTGCAGTGTACATCCCACCCCTCTGAAAAAGAGGGGGGCCTGAATCACATGTCCCCCACTCCATCCCACACATAGGGACATTCAGAAGTTGAGGAAGTGTGGCCCATCAGAGGGAAAGCACAGTACCTATACCACAAGTCAGCCAGGTAGTGATTGGGAGATGCTGGGCCCAGACACTGGGGAGACTGCAACAGTTGTCCTCAGACTCCACAGGCATCATGAGATGGGAGTGCACACCTATCCCAGCAAGAAAGGAAGATGCTCATTTCCATATCACTTTATTATCATTTATATGTTCTGTACTGAGTCCTGGGGTGCAGATGCAGGTGTCTTGGCCTGCAGCCTTGTCCTTTGCAAGGGGGTCAGAGTCAGACAATGTAAGGGAAACCCACCAGTCATTGGAGAGGGGTCCAGCACAGACCCTTCTGGCTGTTCTAGGAGCCAGAGGAGCTCAGAAGGAAGAGCTCTGTGAGGCCTGGCGGGGTGCCTGGGAGAGGCAGGATTGAAGTTGATCATGGGAAGGGTAGGAATTTTATCTAAGTAGAGGGTTAAAGAAAAAGGGCCAAGATGGGGAGGGAGAACAAAATCAGAGAGCCTTGAATGCCAGGACCAACCAAAGGTCTGGGACAAGCCTATGCACAATAGGAAAGTGAAGAAGGTCTTTGACAAATGCAGTGTAGCGGAGAGATAAGTATGAGGAGGGAGGATGGAGCACAGCAGGAGGCTGAACCCTCTGGGCAGGGAGCAAGCCTTCCTGCAGAGGGAAGAGAAAGGAATAGCTGAGGCCTCCGGGTCACCCTGTGAGGCAAGTCCTAGCCTTTCCAGCTCTGAGATGCCTCAGAGATGCCTCTGGGGGCCCAGCAACTCCCTCCGCTGGGAAGGAGCAGAGCAGAGCCTGAGGAGGGAAAAAAGGATTCCTCATATCTCTGAGCACCCCCCCCCCACCAAGGGATTAAAGGAAAGTAGCATAGGCACAGGGGCACATCACAGCTCACACTGAAGTCTTGCAGAGATGCCCGAGGTCATCGTAACCTAAATCTCTCCATAGCACCCCTGATGGTCCACTAACCATGACATGACAGATGAGGGTCATCTCTGGTTATTAGAACTGACTTTTCCATACATGCATGATTCCCTGGTGGCTGAGACAGTAAAGAACCCGCCTGCAATGGGTCGGGAAGATCCCCTAGAGAAGGGAATGGCAACCCACTTCAGTATTCTTGCCTGGAAAATCTCATGGACAGAGAAGCCTTGTGGCCTACAGTCTATGGGGTAGCAAAAGAGGTGGACATGACTGCGTGACTAACACTTTCTTTCACTTTCTTTTCCATACATGAAATCAAAGCCTGCCTCTGTTCCACTGACTGTCCTAACCGATTCTATATTTTGAGCCACACAAAATAACTAGTCCATCCTCCTTGGACACCAAGGGTTTCTGCAATAGTATCCAAACTCCCTGGAAAGGCTCTCCAAGGCTTCTTTTCTGATGGCTGAACAGCTGTAGTTGCCCCAGAGGGTTCCTGTGTAACTCTGTCTCCTTGAGCTCCCGTCTCTACTCACCCTGTTTTCCCCTCCCCATCCTAAGCATTTCATCTCTGGTCAGTTCAGTCACTCAGTCATGTCTGACTCTTTGCAACCCCATAGACTGCAGCTGCCAGGCTTCCCTGTCCATCACTAACTCCCAGAGCTTGCTCAAACTCATGTCCATCAAGTTAGTGATGCCATCCAGCCATCTTATCCTCTGTTGTCCCCTTCTCCTCCTGCCTTCATCTGCATCTCTGGTAAGCCCCAAATCATGCTTACCATGAGTAGTAGAGGGAGCCCAAGGCACAGAACAACCCGAGGTAGATGCCTGCAGTAGAAACACCATTCCTCTTAAGGCCAAAAACTTGAGCCCTCCCTGCGCCCCACACACACAATGCCCAAAACAGCCCTTTGACACAGCTCCTCAGACCCAGATGCCTCCAATAACCTAAGGCAGACAAAATCATGTACCCTAGGAGGTGTAAAGCAAGCACCAGTAGCTTAAGTGCGTGTGGACTCAGCCGTGTCTTTACAACCCCATAACTGTGGCCCGCCAGGCTCCTCTGTCCATGAGATTTTCCAGATGATACTGGAGTGGGTTGCCATTTCCTTCTCCAGGGGGTCTTCCCAACCCAGGGATCGAAACCTGCATCTTCTGCATCTCCTACATTGGCAGGCTGATTCTTTACTGCTGAGCCATCCTGGGAAGGCGCCGGTAGCTCAAACCCTCTTTAAATTGCAGGGGTGGTTTTAAAAGGATGGGTCATGACTGAAGAAGATGCAACCACACAGGCTTCTGGGCTTAAGCATCCAGCATTCCCTGTAGTGGGTGTTAAACTGTGTTTTTACACCTACTAAGGTACTTTTTTCCGGGGAGGAAGTCCGTAGCTTTTATCAGATTCCCAAAGAATCCGTGACTCAGAAAATACTAAAAAGCCTCGCCAAGGAGAAGAAGCGGTCTGTTGAGAAGTCTTCCGGCCACCTAATCTGCCCCCGCCCCCGCACCCCCTAATCTGCCCCCCGCCCCAGTCGCCAGGTTGGTGACACAGTTCCTCTATCTCATTTCGCGGGAAACCCACAAAGCCCAGGCAGATACTGGCACAACCGAGGATGGGAAAATTGGAGTAGGAGAGCCAGGATAACAGGGAATCTGTCCCCAGAAAGGGAGATCGGGTCGCGACTCCCTTCACGCCCCTCACCCCGCCCGAATTTCCTAGTGTGAGGGCTGGGAGGAAGCTCTTTGGTGCATCTGATTGGGCAAAGTCCCCAAGCTAGACCGCGAGCTGGGGAGAAGGCAGGCGGGGGTGGTGAATGGCGAGGGGCGGGGCCTGCGCCGGGGCCCGCCCGCCCTCCGGCCCAGGAATAGGTCGGGCTCCCCCTGGCGGCCCCCGGGCCCCACTCCACGCCCCAGGCGTCCGGTGTCCTCAATCCTCTACCCCACCTAGCACAGGTCGGTCTCCGCGGGCCGACTGACGGACAGACGGGCCGCAGAACGATCCGCCGCGGGCGCCCGGGCGGCAGGAGGGGGCGGGGAGGCGAGGACTGCAGCTTGAGGAGCAGGAGCAGGTGCTGTGGCGACGGGCGGGCGGGGCAGGGACGGAGCGGCGGGCGGGGGCGCGGCGCCGGCGTGCGTGCGGCGGGCGCGGGGCCGGGAGGCCGCCACTCCGAGTTGAGCCCCGCCGGGTCGCGCCGGGGCGAGGGGATCTGCAGTGGGGCCGGGTGGACGGGCGACTCTGGAGGGCGCAGGATCCCAAGGAGACAGAGAGGACGAGAGCTGGAAGGGGCATCGCAAATCGGCGAGAGCGCTTCGCGGGGTGGGGTAGGAAAAGAGGGAGCGTACCTGGAGGGGAGACCGTGTGAAACTGGAGCTTGGAGGGGAGCCCAGGGCAGAAATGGGCCAGACAGGAGACACGGTGGACGTTGTGTGAAGTCTGGTCAGTCGGTAAGATCCGGAGGTGTGACGTTCCCAGGTGGGAGAGGTGGGTTGAGAAGAAAGGCTCGGTGGGAAGAAGGGGTCCTAGGAAGACGCCTAGGGGTCGCCAGCGGCTGGAGGAGAGTTGACCTGGGATCCAGCGCCAGGTGTCTTGAACAGGCAGAGTGGAGGTGATTCAGTAGGCAGTGGGCAGGTGGGCTGAGGTGTGAGGCTGGTATAAGGAAGTGAAGCAGGGGCCAGGTGGAGGTGAGGATGAGTCGAGTCTAGCTGGAGAGGCATCTCAGAAGTAAGACCAGTGCAGACTGAGGGTGCTCCCAGGGCGGGAACCCCACAGTAGGGAGAAGGCTCAGTCAGGGGTTGTCCCCCTCCTCCATGGGGGAGGCCTCTACCTGGTGGTCCCTGGAGCCATGCTGTCCCGCAAAGGCATCATCCCCGAGGAGTATGTGCTCACGCGACTAGCGGAGGACCCTGCAGAGCCCCGGTACCGTGCCCGTGAGCGGAAAGCCCGCTTTGTATCCAAGAACGGCAACTGCAACGTGGCCCACAAGAACATCCGGGAGCAAGGCCGCTTCCTACAGGACGTGTTCACCACGCTGGTGGATCTCAAGTGGCCATACACGCTGCTCATCTTCACCATGTCCTTCCTGTGCAGCTGGCTGCTCTTTGCCATGGTCTGGTGGCTCATCGCCTTTGCCCACGGTGACCTGGCCCCTGGCGAGGGTGCCGCTGTGCCCTGCGTCACCAGCATCCACTCCTTTTCGTCTGCCTTCCTTTTCTCCATTGAGGTCCAGGTGACCATTGGTTTTGGCGGCCGCATGGTGACTGAGGAGTGCCCTCTGGCCATCCTGATCCTCATTGTGCAGAACATCGTGGGGCTCATGATCAACGCCATCATGCTGGGCTGCATCTTCATGAAGACGGCCCAGGCCCACCGGCGGGCCGAGACCCTCATCTTCAGCAAGCATGCAGTCATCGCCCTTCGCCATGGCCGCCTCTGCTTCATGCTGCGCGTGGGCGACCTCCGCAAGAGCATGATCATCAGTGCCACCATCCACATGCAGGTGGTACGCAAGACCACCAGCCCTGAGGGTGAGGTGGTCCCCCTCCACCAGGTGGACATCCCCATGGAGAATGGTGTGGGTGGCAATAGCATCTTCCTGGTGGCTCCGCTCATCATCTACCACGTCATTGACGCCAACAGCCCGCTCTATGACCTGGCGCCCTGCGACCTGCACCACCATCAGGACCTTGAGATCATCGTCATCCTGGAAGGTGTGGTGGAAACCACGGGCATCACCACCCAGGCCCGCACCTCCTACCTGGCCGACGAGATCCTGTGGGGCCAACGCTTTGTACCCATTGTGACCGAGGAGGATGGCCGCTACTCCGTGGACTACTCCAAGTTTGGCAACACCATCAAAGTGCCCACACCACTCTGCACAGCCCGCCAGCTTGAGGAGGACCCCAGCCTGCTGGATGTCCTGACCCTCGCTCGCGGGCCCTTACGCAAGCGCAGTGTGGCCGTGGCCAAGGCCAAGCCCAAGTTCAGCATCTCTCCAGACTCCCTGTCCTGAACTCTGCTCCTCTGGGCCCCCTTGTTATGTGTGCGCACGCCAGTGTGGCATGGTATGTAGAGCGGACGTGGCATGGGCCCCTTGGCCAGGCCAGGACCTGGTATGAGGCTGGACCCTGCAGCTCAGCCTCCCTGCCTGCTGCTCGCCCAGGGTGTTACAAGGCACTTGTCGCTACTCTATTTCTGGCCTCAGCAGGAGCCTGCACTGGGTTATTTTTGTCCCTGCTCCTCCCAGCCCCAACTCAGGACTGGCTCATCCCCCTCCCCTGCCCCAGACTGACAGAGCTGTGGAAAGGGTCAGGCACTAAAGTTGGGTCTCCATCTAGTCCTGGGCCCCCACGACTGACTGGCTGCAAGCTGGGCAGGTGGCTGGGGAAGAACAGGCTCCAAACTGAAGGCCTGCTGCCGCGTTTCTGTGGCCCCAGCCCCTACTTGGTCCCTGAAAAAGTGATGGACGAAAGGGTGGGCCTGGCCTGCTAGGGAGGGCAGGTGAGGAGGGAGCACAGTCGAGCTGGAGGGCTGGAGATGGGGAGCCCCTGCCCCTGGGCAGGCTCAGCAGATGGGAAACGTCACTGAGGGGCTTAGCTTTCTGAGCCCTGCTCGGGCACGGGGAGGAGAGGTGGGCCGCTTGCCGCTGACCTCAAAGCTCTTTTAATGGGGGCTCCATGGCCCAGGGCTGCCGCACCTGCCTGCTCCCATTCTGTCCCCCACCCTGGGAGGCTGTGGGTTGAAAGAGGCCGAGAGAGACTGGGGTCCTGGGCCCACCACAGGCCTGGCCTGTGCTCTGGCCTGGCCCCCCACCAGGGGCTGCCACTCACTTTGTCAAGAGGGTGTCCTTAGAGAGCCCTTGGATTGCTAGGAGAGGAAATGGTGGAAAGCACAGGATGGTGGAGGTGGGTGAGGTCCCTGAGGCTAAAAGGCCGTTGATTGTGACCGGCTTGACCCCAAGCCAGACTCTTGGAGCAGTGCTATGTGTACTTGCCCAGAATTCTGCCTTCTTTGCTGTCAATAAAGCCTACCCCTTTGTGACCTAAACTCTGGGCTATTCTTGCTGGTGGGCAGGGAGGGCAGGGGCTGGTTGCTGCCAACCCACATTTCAGAGGCTCCAGGGACCCTAGCTGGGAGGCCAGGAAAGGGACCTGGGGTTGGTCCTCTTCCGCCGTTCAGGGACACTTCCCTTCTCTGCCTCTGGGAGCCCAGCCCTTCCAGCCTGTCTAATCGTCTCGATTGGGCACTCATAAAGCTTGCAGCCCTGAGCCCTGCCTCCACTCCCAGGGATCTGCCAGGAGGCTAAGGTGCTCAAGGAAAGAGGTGGGCACGTCACGGGCCTTACTGTGGCGACTGGAGCATTAGCTCTCAAAACAAGTGCTTTCATTCACACCCTGGCTCGAGTTCTCAGGCTTCACCTAATGTAACCTGTCTGTGCTTCAGTTGCCTCATCTATAAAGTGGGGCTACTGATAGTACCTACCTTATAGAATTGTTTTGGGAGTAAATGAAGAACATATGTCAAATGCTTGAGTGCCTCGTCCATAGTAAGTGCTCAGTAAATGTTAACTATTGAGACTGCTGTTGAATCAGCTATGTGATGAGACAACTGAGCAAGTGAATGCTAAGAGAGAAAGTGCTATTATATGTCCCCTAGTGAGGAGTTTCTGTGCTTAAACGTACCTTCTACATTGTGTCCCCATCCAGCTCAGACCCTGACGACAGGGGCTGTGCCAGCACCTATTACCTGCGCTTCTTTCTCTATCTCAACCCTCTGGACTCCATCTGCCATGTGGCCACCAGAGTGGTCTTATTAAAAGACTTCATTCTCTCCAACGTCAAGTGCCTCCAGTGGTTCCTCATTACCTTCTGGTCAAGGCTAGACCCATAACCAGTCATTTCAGGCTGTGCCTGACTTATAGTCATTACAGCCTACTGTTATCTAGCCAGGATCCTATGTAACCACCCACCACCCTGGCAGCCGCAATATCCCCTCCCTGCATACAGCATTGATCCTCCTACCTCTGAGCTTTAGGTGATGTTATTCCCTTTGCCTGGACTGTCCAGGCCTCACCTCTCCCTGTGGAAATCTATAAAAGTCCAAGTCACCATGATGCCTCCTTGAAGCCTCCCTTGATTCCTCTGGAAAGTGATGGTCCTGTCCCTTCCTCTGTGCTTGTGGGCATTCCACTTTTGCCAGTGTTTATGGGTCTGTCTCCCCATTCCCAAGTCCATGGCTCCTTGAGGTCAGGGACTGTGGCTGATTGAGCACTGTGACTGTCACTGAACAAGTGCTAAATGAGTGAATGATGAATCATGTACAGGACGAGTCAAGGTCAGTGGTGCAGGGTGAGGCCTGCAGAGGGCTTTGGCTGGATCAGTGAGAGTTTGTCCCAGGCTACTCCAAAGGCAGGGCTGAAGGACAAGGGAACTGCTGGTTCAAGCTCTAAGATGCCCCATCCCTGTACCCACAGCCCCCCATCCATCCCTGTACCCACAGAAACACCCCCCCACCCACCCACCCACACGCTGATTTCTTGCTGTGCTGACTTGTTTCTGGTTTAGAGGAAGATGAGAAAGTGGTTCAAAGTTGGTCCAGAGTTCTGGGGACAGTGCCTGGTTCTTAGTCTGAAGACTCAGCTTAGCTGTCCTTAAGACCAGAGGAGGGGGCCAGACTCATTAATGAGAAGCATCTGGGCAGCACCTTCCCTGGGGACCATTCAGAGTAACCTTCCTCCACTCCTTCATACACCTTAAACAGCTGGGGATAGTGAAATGGCAGAACTGAGGGCTTAGCGCCACCTGCTGGCCACAGACAAGACCTACTTGATCCCAGAAAATCAGAAATCGCTAGTCCTAGGCTTTTCACCCTGTGAGACCCCTGGGAAAAGCTGAAAAGCTCCAGGCATGGAGGGAGCAGCTGGACCAGACCTTCCTTGACCACCCCACAGATGTTCTTGTCCACTAACAGTGCTCCCATCCTCTGGGGGCACCCATCTCTTTAAGGCACTTGTCTAACTATAGACAGAAGAGTTCCAGTAGGCTCCCATCAGCTTAGCAGGAAATTCTGTGAGAATTGTTTCTGATATTCTGCCTCCAGGGCGTCATGTGAGAACAGATGGAGCAGTCTAAGCTCGTCCACATCCTGTGTGCAGATCCCCCAGAAAGGATGTCTCATGTCACTGTGGTCCAGTGCTAAGGGAGGCGCTCTTCTCCCAATTTGCAGATGAGGAAATGGGATTGGACTTGGGGGTCACTTGCTAAGATCATACAGCTAGTAACTGATAGGCCCACGATTTGGACCTGAGTCTGTCTCACACCAAAGCTCTCTCCTTTCCCACCGCTGTACGATCCCAATGACCTGAGCATCACCTTTTACTAGAGGTGTCACCTTGCTCTCGGTTGTCAAAAACCACTACCGGCAGACAGATGTCTCTAGACCAAGAACAAGAGGGAAAGTGTAACTCAGGAAGGTCCTAGATTTGAGACTTATGCAGACTCATCTATAAGTGACAGCCCGGATCATGTCCAAACACCAAAGGAGCCAGAGGGACTGCTACTGAGTCCAAGCTCATATTGCTTGCCACATGAGAGGCCAATAAATCAAGAGACAAGTTGTTGGAGCAAGAAACAGCAACTTTATTTAGAAAGTCAGTAGCCCAGGAAGATGGTGGACTCATGCCCCTCAGAACCATCTTGCCTGAGTTAGAATTCAGGCAATGGGAGGAAGTAAAAATCAAACGACTTTACTGGTTCTGGTCATCCTCCAGAGATGTGTTCATTTCTTCCTTTCTGCAGTCATTCATAGGTCATCAGGATGTTTCCTTTGAGCTCAACAAAGGTATTTTAGCTCAATACTCATTACCTGAAAGGCAGGCTTCCCAGGGATGGGCCATTATGTATAATTCAACTTTATAGGCAACAGCCTGTTATTGGTTAACAGGAGAATACAAAGCTTTTTCCCTATTGCAGGGCCTCACTGACACCTCTTCCCACTCATGTCTATGAAGAACCCTCCATCCTCTGCCTTCTTCATGTGGACTGAGGTCCCTGCCTTATAGGCTCCTCCCGCTCCAGCCAGCTGGGTGGCAGTGCAGACTGATGCTGCACATCTGCCATCTGTGTCTCCAGGTATTGTGACATGTGTCCTAGGTCTCAGTCCTGAGCTCAGCAGAGAAAGGAAGCCAAGCCACCCTCTTCCAGTAGTGAAACTGAACTGCTAGGCTGGAGAAACTAGCCTACTTCAGTTCAGTCGCTCAGTCATGTCTGACTCTTTGCGACCCCATGAATCGCAGCACGCCAGGCCTCCCTGTCCATCACCAACTCCAGGAGTTTACTCAAACTCATGCCCATTGAGTCGGTGATGCCATCCAGCCATCTCATCCTCTGTCGTCCCCTTCTCCTCCTGCCCCCAATCCCTCCCAGCATCATACTCCCAGCATACTCGGGGTCCCTCCCACATACCTATTGCTGAGAGAAGCCTCCTCCTGAGGTGCTTCTGGAAAGTTGGCATAAGTCTTGAGCCTAAGCCAGGGAATCAGCTCTCATCTCGAGACGATTTGGGGTACACAGAGCATTCCTCGAGTTGCTGTGCAGACTCTTTTCCAATGAGTCAACTCTTTGCATAAGGTGGCCAAAGTACTGGAGTTTCAGCTTCAGCATCAGTCCTTCCAATGAACACCCAGGACTTATCTCCTTCAGGATGGACTGGTTGGATCTCCTTGTAGTCCAAGGGACTCTCAAGAGTCTTCTCCAACACCACAGTTCAAAAGCATCAATTTTTAGGCACTCAGCTGCCTTCACAGTCCAACTCTCACATCCATACACGACCACTGGGAAAACCACAGCCTTGACCAGACAGACCTTTGTTGGCAAAGTAATGTCTCTGCTTTTTAATATGCTATCTAGGTTGGTCATAACTTTCCTTCCAAGAAGCAAGCGTCTTTCAATTTCATGGCTGCAGTCACCATCTGCAGTGATTCTGGAGCCCAAAAAATAAAGTCTGACACTGTTTCCACTGTCTCCCATGAGGTGATGGGACCAGATGCCATGATTTGTTTTCTGTATGTTGAGCTTTAAGCCAACTTTTTCACTCTCTTCTTTCACTTTCATCAAGAGGCTTTTTAGTTCCTCTTCACTTTCTGCCATAAGGGTGGTGTCATCTGCATATTTGAGGTTATTGATATTTCTCCCGGCAATCTTGATTCCAGCTTGTGCTTCTTCCAGCCCAGCGTTTCTCATGATGTACTCTGCATGTAAGTTAAATAAGCAGGGTGACAATATACAGCCTTGATGTACTCCTTTTCCTATTTGGAACCAGTCTGTTGTTCCATATCCAGTTCTAACTGTTGCTTCCTGACCTGCATATCTCAAGAGACAGGTCAGGTGGTCTGGTATTCCCATCTCTTTCAGAATTTTCCACAGTTTATTGTGATCCACACAGTCGAAGGCTTTGGCGTAGTCAGTAAAGCAGAAATAGATGTTTTTCTGGAACTCTCTTGCTTTTTCGATGATCCAGAGGTATTGGCAATTTGATCTCTGGCTCCTCTGCCTTTTCTAAAACCAGCTTGAACATCTGGAACTTCTCGGTTCATGTACTGCTGAAGCCTGGCTTGGAGAATTTTGAGCATTACTTTACTAGCGTGTGAGATAAGTGCAATTGTGTGGTAGTTTGAGCATTCTTTGGGATTGCCTTCCTTAGGGATGGAATGAAAATGGACCTTTTCTAGTCCTGTGGCCACTGCTGAGTTTTCCAAATTTGCTGGCATATTGAGTGCAGCACTTTCACAGCATCATCTTTCAGGATTTGAAATAGCTCAACTGGAATTCCATCACATCCACTAGCTTTGTTCGTAGTGATGCTTTCTAAGGTCCACTTGACTTCACATTCCAGGATGTCTGTCTCTAGGTGAGTGATAACACCATTGTGATTATCTGGGTCATGACAAACATTTTTGTACAGTTCTTCTGTGTATTCTTGCCACCTCTTCTTAATATCTTCTGCTTGTTAGGTCCATACGATTTCTGTCCTTTATTGAGCCCATTTTTGCATGAAATGTTCCTTTGATATCTCTAATTTTCTGGAAGAGATCTCTAGTCCTTCCCATTCTGTTGTTTTCCTCTATTTCTTTGCATTGATTGCTGAGGAAGGCTTTCTTATCTCTCCTGGCTATTCTTTGAAACTCTGCATCCAGATGGGAATATCTTTCCTTTTCTCCTTTTCTTTTTGCTTCTCTTCTTTTCACAGCCATTTGTAAGGCCTCCTCAGACAACCATTTTGCCTTTTTGCATTTCTTTTCCATGGGGATAGTCTTGATCCCTGTCTCCTGTACAATGTCATGAACCTCCGTCCATAGTTCATCAGGCTCTCTGTCTACCAGATCTAGTCCCTTAAATCTATTTCTCACTTCCACTGTATATTCATAAGGGGTTTGATTTAGGTCATACCCTCATGGTCTAGTGGTTATCCCTACTCTCTTCAGTTTAAGTCTGAATTTGGCAATAAGGAGTTCATGATCTACTTAGACATTCTGAAAAACTGCTCAGGCCTAATGCCTCTGGGTCTGGCATCTCCAGCCAGTCACCACACAGCCCACATGTGGCCCACCTAGGTGGCCCTCTGGTCTTTCTGCTGGGGTGAACTCAGCCAGCTTCTATGAACCCACTCTCCTCATGTATCATTCTCTCAGCTCTGTCCTGCTCTCGAGTTCCTCTCCAACATCTTTTCTTAGGGAGAACTTTCCTAGAGTGCTTGCTGCAAAGAGTAGCTCTGGCTCCCCATACATATCTGGGTTCACCTCTGAGGTCTCCCCAGGGCTACTGTCAGACACCTTATTGTACTAAGACATGCAGAAGACCTGGAGGAAGAAGAAATAAATGCTGCTGACCCCCAGATTAGGGTAGGCTTGAATAACAACAGATCTGTTCCAACTTGAAAGGGGTTGGGGAAAGGCCAAACAATGGGATTAGAGTCAAAACTGGGTTCCAGAGAGTGGGTTTCTTGCATTAGAACCTAGAGTATTGGTGTCTCACTGTATCCTGCTGACTATACCAGCTGTCTTGCTGTATCTCATTGTATGCACTGTTCGCTGAACCCAGGGTAGGTGAGGCGTGAACTAAGAGTCTGGAAGAAGAGGCAAGGAGCTATAGGAACTGCAGACACATTTATTCTCTCCTGACTGGCACAGCACCCATAGCAGCAGCCATAACATAACTTTAACATAGCCATAATGTAGCCTCCAGGGCTTTTCAGGCGGAGCTTATATATACTTACAGAACAAAAGCAGCCTGTTGCCAAGAAGTACCTCATGACATGCATGCACAGTGCTGTAAGTGATCTCAGCTCTTACATAATCATTATTTACCAAATGTGGGGCAAGAGCGAGAGGCTGTAGAACAAGAGAGAGCCTAACTACTGCCACCACCAATTGCTCTTTCTCTACAATAGGCTTCCTCTCTGCCAGGTCCACCTGGCTTGGGGCATTGTATATCTTCATCTACCTATACCCTACTCTATTTCCACTCTGGAGTGATATGAAAGGCAGGTCACCTAAACTGGCCAACTTGGGTACAGGAGTGTAAACTTGTCTTTCCCCTGTCCTTAGGTCCTTCCAGGCACTGATGCCAATAATTGAAGTAGTGATACAAAGTGCATATGCAACTACACAATTCATTACATAACCCTGCTTCTATGTACTCTTACTTCCCTTGATCACTTCCAGTTTTTCTCACTATGCCACTGTTATTGGGGAAGAGAAATACATACAGGGTAAATCAGAGGGAAGTAAGTACAGTTCTAACTGAAACTTTGACACAGGTCTGCTATCTGTGAAGGGAGAAGAAGGGATAAGTGAGGGACAGCATAGCATTAGCTTTCAAGTAAGCCTGAAAACTACAGCAGATGCCTGAGATGCCATAGCTGGAACATGGTGGCTACGTACGCTCTTCATAGCAGGCTCTCTTGGAGGGGGTCTCAGCAGCACATCTCCATGGCAATCACACTTTTGGGTCAAAATCCAGCTTCCAGAAGAGTTGTATCAGTCAGCTTTCACTGTGTGACAAGCCACTCTATTGCTTTATTTTTCAAGTGGCTTTGAAAAATAAGTCTCATGCCCTCAAGAGTCAGTTCTGTTGGTACTGATGATCTTAGCTAGAATTTTTTTTTTTGCCTTTTTTTTTCCCCTATTATTTTTATTAGTTGGAGGCTAATTACTTTACAATATTGTAGTGGTTTTTGCCATACATTGACATGAGTCAGCCACGGATTTACATGTGTTCCCCATCCTGAACCCCCCTCCCACCTCCCTCCCCATCCCATCCCTCTGGGTCTTAGCTAGATTTGTTGATGCACTGAGGAAGCGGTCATCTGATCCAGTTCCAGCTTCGGGGGTCTCATCCTCCAGAAGTCTCCGATTACAGTGTCTCTCATCCTCCAGCTTCTGCAACGGCTCAAGCAGTAAAGGATCGGCCTGGAATGCAGGAGACTTGGGTTCGATCTCTGGGTTGGCAAGAGCCCCTGGAGAAGGAAATGGCAACCCATTCCAGTGTTCTTGCTTGGAAAATTTCATAGACAGAGGAGCCTGGTGGACTACAGGCCGTAGTGTCATGAAGACTTGGACAGCACTGAGCGCAGACCCTCTCTCCTCATCCTCCAGCAGGCAGCATTTCCAGCATTTTACTGACCTAGGTTAAATCAGGAGAATAAGTCCTATGAATCAGTTGGCCAACTTTAGACAAACAGCCTTTTTTCTTGATGAATGGACTGGTCTGCTTTTCCAAAAGCATTTATAATGAGATATACTAGCTATTGCACAGATTCTGCATTGGCAGGCCTGTAAATAACTGTGGGCAATTTTATTACCCAAAAGCATTTAACTGCATTTAAACTGGCCTCGACAACAGTTTGAGTTGTTTTATTTGCTATTTGGGCCATAGGGAATAACATGTTTGGAAACACCCTCACTAGGGTTGGAAATTCTTGGTTAAACCAGTATAATCTGGGTGGTAAGTTATCCCATTGAGTTACTAACAAAATATGTGCAAATGGTGGGGAAGGAAATCCCCTCTCTGAGCCATGGACTCTATATGTGACAGTAACACTGCAGCTCATATATCATTCACAGGCCTGGGGTGAACAACGAGGTCTTGATTCACAGTGAGCCAGTTCATCAGGAGGAGGCAGAGGGGCTTTACAGCACATCTTCCCAGAGTCCCAGGCTGCTACATGGAAACCAGATGAGACAGTTCCTCCCCAACACATCAAAAAAAGTCATACATCATAAATACACTTAGAACACTCCAGCATCAATCCTGAGAGCTCTCCAACACCATGCACTGGCAATGAATTCTGAACTCCCAGAGCCTACTCCAAAACACAAGGCTAAACTTTGCTTTGGAGCCCCTTACCTTTTCTTAAGATCTTTTTCTTAAGACCAGTCCAATAAAGATCAGTCCAATAATGATTAATATGCTCATTATAATATACAACCAGTAAGTTTTCTTCTCAGATTCTGTGGAAAGAAGGAAGAAAACGTTAAGAGGAAGCCTACTGGCAGGGGGCAAAGAGACCACATGACTGCTTCTAGGATTTGTGTGGTTGTATGTCATCTTCTGTCAGAGATAGTACCACCAACCTTCTGCCACATGTCTTTGCCCTCCTCCATCCTGTCACTTACACCTCCAGACATCAAACAGCCTGTTTAGCACATATCAGAAATACAGCAATATCAAACACCACATACAATATGCACATGCTGGGCACATGTTTAAAGCTTCCATACCACTATACCATCCTATATCACCTGTATACGGCTAAAGTCTGAATGTCACTCTCCCCTCAAAATGTGAATGCTGAAATCTTAACACCCAGTATGATAGCATTAGGAGACAGGGCTTTGGGGAGGTGATTAGGTCATGAGGGTGCGGCACTCAGGAGTGAGATCAGTGCCCTATAAAGGAGGACCTTGAGAGATCCCTCACCCCTTCCACCTTGTGAGGACAGCATGAGAAGTCTGAAACCTGCAGAAGGGCTCTCACTCAACCACGCTGGCCACCGATCTTGGGATTCCGGCCTCTTAACTGTGAGAAATGAAGCTCTGCCGCTTATACGCCGCCTGCATGCGTGCATGTGCATGCTCAGTCACTCTGCGATTCCACGCACTGTAGCCTATCAGGCTCTTCTGGTCCATTGGATTTCCTAGGTTAAAGTACTGAAGTGGGTTGCCACTTCCTTCTCCAGGGGATCGTCCCAACCCCCATCTCCTTCATTGGCAGGTGGTTCTTTACCACAGCATCACCCGAGGAGGCACTTACAAGCCACCTAGTCTGTGGCAATTTGTTACAGCAGTCCACATGGACTAAGAGGGCTTACCTGATGACTGGTGATGGTAAAGAATCTGCCTGCCAACCTACTTCCGTATTCTTACCTAGGAAATCCCATGGACAGAAGAGCCTGGCGAGTTACAGTGCATGGGGTCACAAAAGAGTTGGATACAGCTTAGCGACTAAACAACAACAATGGGCTAAGATATATACATATCACCCAGCCCAGACAAATCCCTGATACCAAACACACAAAGCATATTTCAATTTCATATTCCCCATGTTCCAGAGATACCCTAAACACATCTGTGCACACACCACCCACACAATCCCTAGTCTTTACTTCTAAGAACAATGTTTCTCTCCCTTCAGGATCATCTCAAGCCCCATCTGGCACATCCAGACCACATTCCTCAGGGCCACCAGTCAGTCTCTACCTTCATTACCTCTCTCAGCTCTATGCAGATGCATTGGACCAACAGGGTCATCCCCACCTAGAACCAGAGCCATGACCACAAAAGCCAGGTCACCTATTAGACCATCTGTCTACCTATTAGACCATCTGTCCTGGCTTAGGGACCTAATCTGTACTGCTGACTCTGGGGCTGAGCTAAATCAGACCAATCTTTCTCCCCTTCCCTATATAACCAAAGTTTATATGATCCTCCCCTCAAGATGAAGAGTAAGGGAAATGTCCAGGAAGATGCTCACCTGGATGTAGAATCAAGTGGAAGTTGAAACTCTGGATTGTGGGCAAGGATACATGCCATACCACACACTGATAGATGGTCCCGTTGTCTTCCAGAGATGGCTTCAGCCTCAGGTGGCTAGTGATATTAAATGTACCATCCTCATTCTCGACTATGTGGTCAGTGGTGATGTTCTGAGAAAACTCCCGGAACTGGGGATCCTTCTGGGTCCACTTTTTCCACGTGATGTTAATATGCCCTGGGTAGAACCCACTTGATATACACAAAATATGTTTGTCCTCGTTATCTTTCATCATGACTTGTTCAGACAAGTTGCTGACTGGCGGAGCTGCCAGGGGAGAGAAATCATTCTTTGAGGGTAGGTAAAGATTTGCTTATTATCAGCTCAATGTAAGACCCATGGCAAGCCTTCAGGAAAATGAAGTAAACTGAATGGTATTCTGCTTAGACTAAATGTTCTGGGTACGTTGGTCCCAGTGCCAGCGGGGTACTGATATGCTGTGACCCCGAATCTCAGGCAGTTTTATAAAGCAGTGTTTCTTAAGTCCCTCTGTGTCATAGATACCTTGGGGAATCTGAGGAAACCCTTGGAATAAACACTGATTTGGCCAGAGACTGCTAATTGCTGCCAGTCTCCTTCTTCCATGACACCTCCAAGTTAAAGCTACTTCTCCCACCCTCCTCTGCAGCTGGGTGTAGTCATGTAAACTAAGGGTCTGAAAGTTTTATTGTAATCAGAAGTGGTGAGAGCAACTTCTAAGAAGTATCCTGAAATAACAAGGGTATCTTAAAGAAAAGAACAGTCTCTCTCCCCCTCCACTTCCTTCTTTCTGCAGAATGGCTGGAATAGTATATCATGGCTGGGGGCAGAGAAGCCGTTTCTAAACAGAACGAGGAAATGCAGCTTGAGGACGGCAAAGTGACAAGATAAAAGGATCCTGGGTCCCAGATGATCAGAGCACTGCCATATCTGCCCTGGGTTGGCTACATTTTTGTGAAAGGAAAATAGCCGCCTTCTTAAAATCACTGCTGACCTCTGGCTTCCCCTCTCACATGTAAAGATCTTGAAAGTCATCATTTCTATCCTTGGAACAGGAAAGAAAGCTGAGCTGAACAAACTGAAAATCCACAGCTTTCCTTAGATTCATCGGAGAACTGAGGTGACAGGGCAAACCACCTCCATATAAACAAGAGAGACAGGCAGATTGAGAGAATCACGGCCAAGATCATAAAACCTTGAGCAGAAGGTACTAGAGTAATAAACTGGCTGACACACATAAGCACTGACTCTTGACAAATTGCTAGAGGATGAGTGTGGACTAGATTGAGAGGAAGGAACTCCGAACGACCCAGCCGTAGAGCGGGCCACACACTTTCATGAGTTGTACCTCCAAGAATCCCACCAGGCTCTCACTGTGAAGACCCAAGAAAAATCCACTCCTCTTTTGAGCAGCGAAGAGAAGAAAAGTAACTATTTCAAAATATACCCAGGACTCCCTTGTGGTCCAGGGGTTAAGAATGTGCCTGCCAATGTAGGGGACATGGGCTTGATCCCTGGTCTGGGAAGATTCCACATGCTGCAGAGCAACTAAGCCCATGCACCATGACTACTGAAGCCTGTGCACCCCACAGCCTGTGCTCTGCAACAAGAGAAGCCACCGTAATGAGAAGCCCACAAACCACAGCCTGAGAGTAGCACCTACTTGCTGCAACTAGGGAAAGCCCGTGCACAGCAACAAAGGCCCAGAGCAGTCAAAACTAAGTAATTAAATAAATAAAAATTAAGTATTTATATATATACACAGCCAGTGCATTCTCCACAATAAAGGATGCTCTTAAGGAAAAAGAATTTGCCAGTGTTATCTGACCTGGGACAGTGATGTTTAGCCAACTCCAGCCCCCTCTAGCCTTCCTGTCTCACCTAGAAACACTTGTGAAGGTGAGACAGTTTAGGGGCTCAGGCAACTCAAAGAATGAGATTTAATCAGAAAATTATAAACAGCTTCCCCTCTACACCTAACCACTACATCAACAGAGCCCCAGAATGATAACAGTAGAGTACAACTGAGGGAGCTGTTAAACACGGGCTCTATTTCAGAAGGAGTTCATGAGGAAACTCAAAGGAAAAAAGGCAAGGGGGGAAAGACACCAGAAGGAACTGAAGTCTCTGGCACCTATAGGTACAGCGTTAACATTAAACACAGTCCAACTCCTAGCCAAAGAAACACAGATTCTCATACCAAAAGCCTATTCACCTCGGTTCCTATCATCTGATACATAACATCTGGTTTTCAACAAAAAATTACAAGGCATGCCAAAAAGTATGAAAAGACAAAGCAAGCATCAGACCCAAACTCTGGTATGACACAGATTTTGGAATTATCAGATAGAGACTTTTAAATAATGATTAAGCACATGTGCCCTAGAGCCCATGCTCCACAATGAGAGGCCACTGCAATGAGAAGCACCCCCTATTTGCCACAACTAGACAAAAGCCCATGGAGTGATGAAGACCCAGCACAGCCAAAAACAAATAAATAAATAAAACTATTTTTGAAAAAAGTGGCCTTCAGAGCAAAAAAAAAGTTATCAGGAGAAAAAAACTAAGGAAATCTGAATAAACTATGTAAGTAAGTTAAGTGTTAGTTGCTCAGTCATGCCCTATTCTTTGCGACCCCATGGACTGCAGCCCACCAGGTTCCTGTGTCAATGAGATTTTCCAGGCAAGTATGTTGGAGTGGGTTGCCATTTCCTTCTTCAGGGGATCTTCCTGACTCAGGTATCAAACCCGGGTCTCCCACACTGCAGGCAGATTCTTTACTGACTGAGCTACAAGTGAATAAACTATGGACTTTAATAAACAAAAATGTATCAATATTGGTTCATTAATTATAAAAATATAGCATAAACGCAAGATGTTAATAGGGCAAGTAAGGTGTGGAGGCAAGAGTAATATGGGAACTCTGTACTATCTTTGCAATTTCTCCATAAATCTAAACCTCTTCTAAAAAAAAAAGTCTATTTATTTAATTTTTGGGAAAAAACTTTTATTTAAGGCTATCAATTGCAGAGGAATTCTAATATACATTCCCCACCTCCAAAATTGATATGTACAAAACATTCCAAGTCTTCAGTGCAATTGTGAGGAGCTCACAGATGCTGCCCCCCAGTTATACTGAATTGAACCCGTCCAAAATTCATATGTTGAAGTCCTAAACCTAGTCCCTCAGACTGTGACTATATTTAGAGATAGGGTTTTTTTTAAATTAATTAATTTACTTTAATTGGAGGCTAATTACTTTACAATATTGTAGTGGTTTTTGCCATACATTGACATGAATCAGCCACGGATTTACATGTGTTCCCCATCCTGAACCCCGCTCCACCTCCCTCCCCATCCTGTCCCTCAGGGTCATCCCAGTGCACCAGCCCTGAGCACCCTCATGCATCGAACCTGGACTGGCGATCTACTTCACATATGGTAATATACATGTTTCAATGTTATTCTCTCAAATCACCCCACCCTCGCCTTCTCCCACTGAGTCCAAAAGTCTGTTCTTTACATCTGTGTCTCTTTTTCTGTCTCATATACAGGATTATCGTTACCATCTTTCTAAATTCCATATGTATGTGTTAATATACTGTATTGGTGCTTTTCTTTCTGGCTTACTTCACTCTGTATAATGGGCTCCAATTTCATCCACCTCATTAGAACTGATTCAAATGTATTCTTTTTAATGGCTGAATAATACTCCATTGTGTATATGCACCACAACTTTCTTATCCATTCATCTGCTGATGGATATCTAGGTTGCTTCCATGTTCTGGCTATTGTAAACAGTGCTGTGATGAACACTGGGGTACACATGTCTCTTTCAATTCCGGTTTCCTCCGTGTTCATGCCCAGCAGTGGGATAGCTGAGTCATATAAGCACACGCGCCGTGAGCTGGAGCAAAGCCAGTGTGGTCCATACACTGCGAGCACTCCCCACACACTGCGAGCACTCCCCACACACTGCGAGCACTCCCCACACACTGCGAGCACTCCGCACACACACCAGTGATATTTGTTTGCAGTGTTCCTCCCTCCCCACAGCACAATTGAACAAGTGAGCCTAAATAAGTGACCACCATTGCCCCCTTGTGTCAGGGTGGAAATTAGACACTGAAGAGACTTGCAAACAGAGGAAGCCAAAATAAACAGAGGGAACTGCTTTGGAAGTGACAGGTGCAACAGATTAAAACCCTGTAGTTAGCATTGACTAAGCATTGGAAGGGGCCTATGGACCTTGAGAAGAACAAGCTAGAACAAGGAACTATCTGACACTGAACTGACCCCACACTGCCCTCAACAGCTCCAGAGAAATTCCTAGATATATTTTACTATTATCATTTTTTAATGTTTTTAAGTTCTTTATTACTCCCTTAATTTTCATTTTTATAATCTACTACTACCTTGCAAAATAAAGATGCTATTTTAAAGCAAATTTCATATATATCTTTTAAATAATTTTTGTGATTTTGTTCTGTATTTTTAATACTGTATTTTTGAGAGTCTAACCTCTATCTCTAGATTTTTAATCTTTGCTTTTTAGTATTTGTTATCAATTCTGTACCTTTAAGAATCCAATCTTCAGTTCGAATTTTTACTGAGAGGAGTGTGATTACCGGCTTGATTGCTCTCTTCCCTTTTGACTCTCCTTTTTCTCCCCCAGGTCACCTCTATCTCCTCCCTCCCCCTCTCTTCTCTACTTAACTCCGTGACTCTCTTTGGGTGTTCCAGGCTGTGGAGAACACTTAGGGAACTGATTAACGGTAGACTGCTCTCTCTCCTTTTGATTCCCCCTTTTCTCCTCCTGGTCACCTCTACCTCCTTCCTCCCTCTTCTCTATGGAACTCAATGAACCTCTCTGGGTGATCCAGACTGTGGAGAGCACATAGCAAATTGATTACTGGCTAGATTGCTCTCTCTCCTTTAGACTACCCCTCTTCTCCTCCTGGTCACCTCTATCTCCTTCCTCCATCTTCTCTTCTCCATGTAACTCTGTGAACCTCTCTGGGTGTCCCTCACTGTGGAGAATCTTTTCACCATTAACCTAGATGTTTCATCATCAGTGCTGTATGGATGGAGAAGTCTTGAGGCTACTGTAAGAATAAGACTGAAAGCCAGAGGCAGGAGGCTTAAATCCAAAACTTGAGAATACCAGAAAACTCCTGACTCCAGGGAACATTAATTGACAAGAGCTCATCCAAAAGCCTCCATACCTATACTGAAACCAAGCTCCACCCAAGAGCCAACAAGTTTCAGAGCAAGACATACCAAGCAAATTCTCCAACAAAGCAGGAAAATAACCCTGAGCACAAAAAAACAGGCGGGCAAAAGTCACACCAAACCCATAGACACCTCAAAACTCACTACTGGACACTTCATTGCCCTCCAGAGAGAAGAGATCCAGCTCCACCCACCAGAACACCGACGCAAGCTTCCCTAACCAGGAAACCTTGACAAGCCACTCGTCCAAACCCACCCTCAGGGAGGACCCTCCACAATAAAGAGGAACCACAGACTTCCAGCATACAGAAAGGCCACCCCAAACACAGCAATCTACAACAAAATGAAAAGGCAGAGAAATATTCAGCTGGTAAAGGAACATGATAAATGCCCAGCAAACCAAACAAAAGAGGAAGAGATAGGGGGTCTACCTGAAAAAGAATTCAGAATAATGATAGTAAAGATGATCCAAAATCTCGAAAACAAAATGGAGTTACAGATAAATAGACTGGAGACAAGGATTGAGAAAATGCAAGAAATGTTTAACAAGGACCTAGAAGAAATAAAAAAGAGTCGATCAATAATGAATAATGCAATAACTGAGATCAAAAGCACTCTGGAGGGAACCAACAGTAGAATAACTGAGCAGAAGATAGGATAAGTGAGGTGGAAGATAGAATAGTGGAAATAAATGAAGCAGAGAGGAAAAATGAATTAAAAGAAATGAGGACAACCTCAGAGACCTCTGGGACAATGTTAAATGCCCCAACATTCGAATCATAGGAGTCCCAGAAGAAGACAAAAAGAAAGGCCATGAGAAAATACTTGAGGAGATAATGTTGAAAACTTCCCCAAAATGGGGAAGGAAATAGCCACCCAAGTCCAAGAAACCCAGAGAGTCCCTGTCAGGAAGCATTTAACAGGAGACTTCTTGTGTGCTGTTTTGGATCTGTCATGAATCCCCTGTTCCTTATTAATTCCTGAATATTCAGGAATTAAGAGGAGAGGCAAGCCTCTCCCAGGGCTGAGGAATCCAGGCATGCCCTTTCCTTAGTTATTCAATACGGTGATAAATACCCTCTTCCTTCTTATGAACCATGAGGCAAAAGTGATTGTTTACAACTCTCTCTCTTTAATGTGGATCACCTTATGTTTTGTAAGTCTGGAATTTTAATCTTTATCTTTGCTGAGAATAACTACCTTGTAAGACAGTATATATGCCCACACCATGTTGATTAAAACACCTTTGCTCCATCAGAGCTTGGGTCCCCATGTCTTTCTTTCTCTCTCTCTCTCTATTTCTGACTGATTCCCTGGACTGCAAAGACCGGCTGCGTAACCCAGGGAATATTAGCCTCTTTCCTTCTTTCACTTTCTCATCGTCGACTCCAGACCACCAGGTTCCGGTCCATTAAAAGTCCCAAACAGGATAAACCCAAGGTGAAACACCCCAAGACACATATTAATCAAATTAATGAAGATCAAACACAAAGAGTAAATACTAAAAGCTGCAAGGGAAAAGCAACAAATAACATACAAGAGGATTCCCATAAGGATAACAGCTGATCTTTCAATAGAAACTCTTCAAGCCAGAAGGTAATGGCAGGACATACTTAAAGTGACAAAAGAGAAAAACCTACAACCCAGATTACTATACCCAGCAAGGATCTCATTCAAATATGTAGGAGAAGCAAAAGCTGAGACATAGGGTTTTTAGTAAGGTTGTTGCTAAGTTAAAAGAGATCATTAGGTTGAGCCCTAATCTGACGCATGTCTTTATAGAAGGAGATTAGGATACACAAACACAGGGAAAAGACAGCCACCTACAAGCCAAAGAAACAGGCCTCAGAAGAAACCAACCCTGCTGTCACCTTGATCTCAGACTTCTGGACTCCAGAATTGTGCAAAAGTTAATTTCTGTTGCATAAGCCACCCAGTCAGTAGTGTTTTGTTATGGCAGCCCCAAGCCCATCCACAGAGAATCCAACCTACTTATAATAGCAGAAACAGGAGCTCAAAAAGGTGTTTAGGGAAGAATGTTGCTGTTTTAAGTCATGACTGAGCACCTGCCTTACAACAGCACTGGTCAAGCATTTTCGTACATGAGCTTATCTAATCCTCAGAACACTATGAGGCAGGTTACACTTGTCACCTCATTTTGAGTGGGAAAACTCACAGGCAAAGATATTAAACGGCTGACCAATCACTCAGTTTGGAAGCAGCAAAGTCAGACAGAATAGGATTCAGATCCATGGAACCAGAGTGAAATCACTCTCCTTCCCTAGCTACCTTTCAGAGGTATCCCTTCAGTGAAGGCTAACTATAGACATATCAGTTCAGTTCAGTTCAGTTGCTCAGTCATGTCCGACTCTTTGTGACCCCGTCAACCACAGCATGCCAGGCCTCCCTGTCCATCACCAACTCCCGGAGTCCACCCAAACTCATGTCCATTGAGTCAGTAATGCCATCCAACCATCTGATCCTCTGTCGACCCCTTCTCCTCCTGCCTTCAGTCTTTCCTAGCATCAGGGTCTTTTCAAATGAGTCAGCTCTTCGCATCAGGTGGCCAAAGTATTGGAGTTTCAGCTTCAACATCAATGAACACCCAGGAATGATCTCCTTTAGGATGGACTGGTTGGATCTCCTTGCAATCCAAGGGACTCTCAAGAGTCTTCTCCAACACCACAGTTCAAAAGCATCAATTCTTTGGCACTCAGCTTTCTTTATAGTCCAACTCTCACATCCATACATGACTACTGGAAAAACCACAGCTTTGACTAGATGGATCTTTGCTGGCAAAGCAATATCTCTGCTTTTTAAAATGCTTTCTAGGTTGGTCATAAATTTCCTTCCAAGGAGCAAGCGTCTTTTAATTTCATGGTTGCAATCACCATCTGCAGTGATTTTGGAGCCCCCCAAAAAATAAGTCACCCATTGTTTCCACTGTCTCCCCATCTATTTGCCATGAAGTGATGGGACCAGATGCCATGATCTTAGTTTTCTGAATGTTGAACTTTAAGCCAACTTTTTCACTCTCCTGTTTCACCTTCATCAAGAGGCTCTTTAGTTCTTCTTCACTTTCTGCCATAAGGGTGGTGTCATCTGCATATCTGAGGTTATTGATATTTCTCCTGGCAATCTTGATTCCAGCTTGTGCTTCATCCAGCCCAGCATTTCTCATGATGTACTCTGCATATAAGTTAAATAAGCAGGGTGACAGTATACAGCCTTGACGGACTCCTTTTCCTATTTGGAACCAGTCTGTTGGTCCATGTCCGGCTTTAACTGGTGCTCCCTGACGTGCATACAGGTTTCTCAAGAGGCAGGTCAGGTGGTCTGGTATTTCCATCTCTTTCAGAATTTTCCACAGTTTATTGTGATCCACACAGTCAAAGGCTTTGGCACAGTGAATTAAACAGAAACAGATGTTTTTCTGGAACTCTCTTGCTTTTTTGATGATCCAGCAGATATTGGCGATTTGATCTCTGATTCCTCTGCCTTTTCTAAAACCAGCTTGAACATCTGGAAGTTCACAGTTCATGTACTGCTGAAGCCTGGCTTGGAGAATTCTGAGCATTACTTTACTCGCATGTGAGATGAGTGCAACTGTACAGTAGTTTGAGCATTCTTCGGCATTTCCTTTCTTTGGGATTGGAATGAAAACTGACCTTTTCCAGTCTTGTGGCCACTGCTGAGTTTTCCAAATTTGCTGACATATTGAGTGCAGCACTTTCACAGCATCACCTCTTAGGATTTGAAATAGCTCAACTGGAATTCCATCATCTCCACTAGCTTTGTTCATAGTGATGCTTCCTAAGGCCCACTTGACTTCCCATTCCAGGATGTCTGGCTCTAGGTGAATGATCACACCATTGTGATTATCGGGGTCATGAAGATCTTTTTGTACAGTTCTTCTGTGTATTCTTGCCACCTCTTCTTAATATCTTCTACTTCTGTTAGGTCCATACCGTTTCTGTCCTTTATTGAGCCCATCTCTGAATGCAATTAAAATGCTTAGCAGAGAGTGTGGTCCATTTTAAGTGTCAGTAAAAGACAGCCACGGTAATTAGATAATTTCCCTGGTATGTCTAGTGCCACGCAGCCGCCATTCACTGCTAGACATACCAGGGAAATTATCTAATTACTGTGGCTATCTTTTACTGACACTTAAAATGGACCACACTCTAGTCTAAGCATTTTACCTGCATTAAAAAAAATTTAAATTGCAGTATAATTGCTTTACAATGTTGTGTTAATTTCTGCTGTATAACAGCGTGAATCAGCTCTATGTATGCATATATTCCCTCCCTCTTGAGCCCCTTGACCCCACCCCCCATTCCACCCTTCTAGGGCATCCCAGAATACTCAGTTGAGCTCTCTGTGCTGTACAACAGCTTCCTACTAGCTATCTTACCTGCATTTTTCATAGCCACTTCCCTATCAATTCTCTGAGAAAAAATACTATTACATGTGTTTAGAGTTTCAGCGTGATTAAAAACTTGCCCAAAGTTGTTAAGAAGTTCATGGAATCCTGGACTCAAACCTATGTCTATTTGACTCCCAGGCCCAGGCTCTAAACTTCTGCTCCACTCAGCCCATCCACATCTCCACCACAAGCCCCATCACCATGGAAACCACAGGGCACTGCCCTCAGGCACTCACCTACAACCTCCAGCCTGACAGTCCCCTGTGCCTTCTGAGGAGTAACCACCAGCTCACAGCGGTACTCCCCTGCATCTTCCAGCCGGACACCAGGCAGCTGCAATGAGGCATCTCCCCTCTGCAGACTCCGTAGAGACACGCTGGCTCCACGTTGGGATGCCTCTCTGTGGTTTCCAAAATACTCAAACAGTTTGGTGTCAGTTTCAGAAGTTCCAGTCTTTTGAAACCAGGTGATACCTATACTGTTGATGTCCAGGTGTGGGGAACCAGGGATCTTGCAAGAGACAGTCACATTTTCATTCAAGAAAACCATCTGAGTCCTCCCCGCCATCTCCACTTGCAGTAAACCTGTGGCTAACAAGAGAAGGTTATGGAAGACACTTGAAAGAAACATAGTCCTGGTACTCTAAAACACCATCACGTGACTGGGAACACCTTCCCCTTTTTGGGGGTGGGGGGCAGCTCGCAGGGGGGCATCCTCAGATACAAAAGCCCTTAGTTCATGGCCCCTCATTAATCCACAGAAAATCCTCGAACTTTGTTTTTCCCTTCCCCCCACCAACCCCACCCCCACTCCATCCACCCAGCCAATCTGCCAATATCCAAAATAAAGCAGTTTCCTTTCCACCAACCTGGCCTCATCACTGGCTTTTGAGGGACCAACAGGCGTACCCCACTTTCGGTTACACCCATGCACTCTCAGTAAAGACTTCAGTGAAGTCCCTGATATGCGGTGGAGTCTATTTCTTTTTCTTTTTAAAGGGAATTTAAGGGACTCAGCTAGTATGATCCATGGCCCAATTCCATCTCCCCTGTTGAAGAGGCTTCTGTTGAGTGTTTTTTGTTTTTGGCCACCACGGGTGTCATGCAGGATTTTAGTTTACTACCAACAGAAATTGAATCCCTGCCTCCTGCAGTGGAAGCGTAGAGTCTCAACCACTGGACAAGCAGTGAAGTCCCAGAGTAATCTCATTTCACATCCTTTATTTTTTCCCTCAGTTCCAGCAACTAGCATGATGCAAGGAAGAAAGAATTTTACAGAACACCAGAGCACAAACTTGAGGAAACACTTGTTCTCAGGCTCCTACACGAGGCGACTCTGCACAAAGCAGGGATTCAGTATACAATTGTTCAATCAGTGAACGAATCAGTATTTCCTGAAAGCCAGTCCTAACCGCGGGGTTATTCTCGGCTCTTAACCCAGCCGACCGCGATCTCACGGCCTAGCGACAGCTACCCCTCTTCCCTCCCTCCTTCTCTCCCTCGCGTCCTACCCGCTATTAGCTGAAACTGCTCCAGCTCCAACAGCGACATCAGAACGCGGAGCAGCCACCCGGAGCCACACCGCACGCGGCCAGCCGCCCTCTTCGCCATTGCCGGAGCCTAGCGGGACCGAGGCCTCGAACTTCCTCTTTCTTCCTTTTTCCTCTTAAGAGAGAGCAGCACCTAAGAAGTGGGTGGAACGCGTATTCTCTCGCGTCCAGGCCGAACTGTAGGCGTATTTAACTAAGGGCGCACGTTCACCTACTTAGGTCTCTGGGCCCCTTCTGCAGAACTCTGCGAGGTCGTCTTGATAACTCCGTTCCCAAAGAAGGAAAAGTGTCGGCGAGCGCCTGCTCAGTCGCACCTACAGCAGAAAATGAGGCGCGGTTCGGGGGACACGCAATCCCCGCCTCCGCAGCGCGGGGCGGACTGGCGGATGTGTTGACGGGCGGACGTGTTGACCGACGGGAGGGCGAAGGAGCGGAGGAACGCGCGCACGGGCGGAGGAACGCGCGCACGGGCGGAGGAACGCGCGCACGGACGGAGGGGCGGAGGGGCGGAGGGGCGGACGGGCGGACGCGCGGACACGCGGAGGGATGCGCGCACACGCGGAGGGATGCGCGCACGGGTGGAGGGGCGGACGCGCGGAGGGATGCGCGCCTGGGCGGAGGGATGCGCGCCTGGGCGGAGGGGCAGACGCGCGGAGGGGCAGACGCGCGGAGGGGCGGAGGGATGCGCACAAGAGCGGAGGAGCGGACGCGCGGACATGTGGACAGGTGGGCGGAAGGGCGGGCTGTCTCTAGTATCGCTTTGTAAACTGGGCAGGATCCGGTTAACCCGGGCGCTGCTCTAAAGAAGATCCGCTTAGGGTGGCATGATAAACTTCCCAATAAAGAGTAGCCTTACTGGCATAGTGAATTTAGAGTTAATGTACTAAATTAGACTTACTAATACTATCAGTAACTAAACAGATATTTATATTCTCACTTACCTGCGGAATAAGCAGCACGCACGGTTTTTGGCAAAAGCAAAGAACTTGAGGAGGAACAGGGAGCCCACACTGACATCACTAGCTGAGGGGCTTTCAGAATGTTAGCTTCTGGGCCACAGTTCTAACAAGTAGACTGCGAAGTTAGGTCCAGCTATGGAATTCTAACATCCTAAATTACACCTTTTCTCAACTACTACGCCTTCCAAGGAGTCGTCCCTGAAGAGAAATCCTCTTCTGGTATTGTTGTTCGGGGCCTAAGTTTGTCTGACTTGCTGGGGCCCCATGGACTGCACCACACCAGGTTCCCCTGTCTTTCATTATCTCATGGAGTTAGCTCAAATTCATGTCCACTGAGTCGATGATGCTATCTAACCATCTTATCCTCTCCCCCTCCTTCTTTTTTTACCTTCAGTCTTTTTCAGCATCAGGGTCTTTTCCAATCAGTGGACTCTTCACATCAGGTGGCCAAAATATTGGCGCTTCAGCATCAGTCCTTCCAATAAATATTCAGGGTTGATTTCCTTTAAGACTGACTGGTTTACAGTGCAAGGGGCTCTCAAGAGTCTACTCCAGCACAACTCAAAAGCATCAATTCTTTGGCGCTTAGCCTTCTTTATGGTCCAGCTCTCACATCTGTATGTGACTACTGGAAAAACCATAGCTTTGACTATATGGACCTCTACCAGCAAAGTGATTTCTCTGCTTTTGAAAACCCGCCTAGGTTTGTCATAGCTTTCCTTTCAAGGAGGAAGCATATTTCATTTCATGGCTGCAGTCACCATCCACAGTGCTTTTGGAGCCCAAGAAAATAAAATCTGTCACTGCTTCCACTTTTCCACCTCTACTTGCCACTAAGTGATGGTGCTGGATGCCATGATCTTAGTTTTATGATTGTTGAGTTTTGGGGGGGGAGGGGAGTAATTTTTTTTTTTAATTTTAATTGGAGACTAATTACTTTACAATATTGTGGTGGTTTTTGCCATACATTCACATTATCAGCCGTGGGTGTACATGTGTTCCCCGTCATGACCCTCCCTCTCACCTCCCTCCCCATCCCATCCCTCAGGGTCATCCCAGTGCACCAGCCCTGAGCACCCTGTCTCATGCATTGAACCTGGACTGTCAATCTATTTCACGTATGATATATACATGTTTTACTGCTATTCTCTCAAGTCATCCAACCCTTGCTTTCTCCCACAGAGTCCAACAGTCTGTTTTTACATCTGTGTCTCTTTTGCTGTCTTGCATATAGGGTTATCGTTACCATCTTTCTAAATTCCATATATATTCATTAAAATATTGTATTTGTGTTTTTCTGACTTAATTTGCTCTGTATAATAGGCTCCAGTTTCATCCAGCTCATTAGAACTGATTCAAATGCATTCTTTTTAAAGGCTGAGTAATATTCCATTGTGTATATGTACCACAGCTTTCTTATCCCTTTGTCTGCTATTGGACATCTAGGTTACTTCATGACCTGGCTATTGTAAATAGTGCTGCTATGAACATTAGGGTACACTTGTCTCTTTCAATTCTGGTTTCCTCAGTGTGTATGCCCAGCAGTGGGATTGCTGGGTTGTATGGCAGTTCTATTTCCAGTTTTTTAAGGACTCTCCACACTGTTTGCCATAGTGCTGTACTAGTTTGCATTCCCACCAACAGTGTAAGAAGATTCCCTTTTCTCCACACCCTTTCCAGCATTTATTGTTTTTAGACTTTTGGATAGCAGCTGTTCTGACTGGCATGAGATGGTACCTCATTGTGGTTTTGATTTGCATTTCTCTGATAATGACTGATGTTGAGCAACTTCTCATGTGTCTGTTAGCCATCTATATGTCTTCTTTGGAGAAATGTCTGTTTAGATCTTTGGCCCATTTTTTGATTGGGTGGCTTATTTTTCTGGAATTGAGCTGCAGGAGTTGCTTGTATATTTTTGAGATTAATTCTTTGTCTGTTGCTTCATTTGCTATTATTTTCTCCCATTCTGAAGGCTGTCTTTTCACCTTGCTTAGAGTTTCCTTCATTGTGCAAAAGCTTTTAAGTTTAATTAGGTCCCATTTGTTATTTTTGCTTTTATTTCCATTACTCTGGGAGGTGGGTCATAGAGGATCCTGCTATGATTCACATCAGAGAGTGATTTGCCTATGTTTTCCTCTAGGAGTTTTATAGTTTCTGGTCTTACATTTAGATCTTTAATCCATTTTGAGTTTATTTTTGTGCATGGTGTTAGAAAGTGTTCTAGTTTCATTCTTCTACAACTGGTTGACCAGTTTTCCCAGCACCACTTGTTAAAGAGATTGTCTTGTTTCCATTGTATATTCTTGCCTCCTTTGTCAAAGATAAGGTGTCCATAGGTGCGTGGATATATCTCTGGGCTTTCTATTTTGTTCTGTTGATCTGTGTTTCTGTCTTTGTGCCAGTACCATACTGTCTTGATGACTGTGGCTTTGTAGTAGAGCCTTAAGTCAGGCACATTGATTCCTCCAGTTCCATTCTTCTTTCTCAAGATTACTTTGGCTATTCGAGGTTTTTTGTATTTCCATACAAATTGTGAAATTATTTGTTTTAATTCTCTGAAAAATACCATTGGTAGCTTGATAGGGATTGCATTGAATCTATAGATTGCTTTGCGTAGTATACTCATTTACACTGTATTGATTCTTCTGATCCATGAACATGATATATTTCTCCATCTATTTGTGTCTTCTTTGATTTCTTTCATCAGCGTTTTATAGTTATATATATATATATATATATATATATATATATATATATATGTCTCTTGTTTCTTTAGATTAGATTTATTCCTAAGTTTCGATTTCCATGCTTGTGATGAGTCTGTTAAGATTTTCTATTTCTTCCTGGTTCAGTTTTGGAAAGTTATACTTTTCTAAGAATTTGTCCATTTCTTCCAAGTTGTCCATTTTATTGGCATATAGTTGCTGATAGTAGTCTCTTATGATCCTTTGTCTTTCTGTGTTGCCTGTTGTGATTTCTCCATTTTCATTTCTAATTATGTTGATTTGATGCTTCTCCCTTTGTTTCTTGATGAGTCTGGCTAATGGTTTGTCTATTTTATTTATCCTCTCGAAGACCGAGCTTTTAGCTTTGTTGATTTTTGCTATGGTCTCTTTTGTTTCTTTTGCATTTATTTTTGCCCTAATTTTTAAGATTTCTTTCCTTCTACTAACCCTGGAATTCTTCATTTCTTCCTTTTCTAGTTGCTTTAGGTGTAGAGTTAGGTTATTTATTTGACTTTTTTCTTGTTTCTTGAGGTAAGCCTGTGTTGCTATGAACCTTCCTCTTAGCACTGCTTTTACTGTGTCCCATAGGCTTTGGGTTGTTTTCATTTTCATTTGTTTCTATGCACATTTTGATTTCTTTTTTTATTTCTTCTGTGATTTATTAATTATTCAGAAGCGTGTTGTTCAGCCTCCATATGTTGGAATTTTTAATAATTTTTCTTCTGTAATTGACATCTAATCTTACTGCATTGTGGTCAGAAAAGACGCTTGGGATGATTTCAGTTTTTTTGAACTTACCAAGGATAGATTTATTGCCCAGGATGTGATCTATCCTGGAGAAAGTTCCATGTGCACTTGAGAAAATGGTAAAATTCATTGTTTTGTGGTGAAATGTCCTATAGATATCAATTAGGTCTAACTGGTCCATTGTATCATTTAAAGTTTGCGATCCCTTGCTAATTTTTTGTTTAGTTGATCTATCCATAGGTGTGAGGGGGTACTAAAGTCTCCCACTATTATTGTGTTATTGTTAATATCCCCTTTCATACTTGTTAGCATTTGCCTTACATATTGCAGTGCTCCTATATTGGGTGCATATAATTTATAATTGTTATATCTTCTTGGATTGATCCTTTGATCATTATGTAGTGTCCTTCTTTGTCCCTTTTCACAGCCTTTATTTTAAAGTTTATTTTATCTGATAAGAGTATTGTGACTTCTCCTTTCTTTTGGTCTCTATTTGTGTGAAATATCTTTTTCCAGCCCTTCACTTTCAGTTTGCATGTGTCCCTTGTTTTGAGGTGGGTCTCTTGTAGACAACATATATAGGGGTCTTTTTTTGTATCCATTCAACCAGTCTTTGTCTTTTGGTTGGG